CCTCACAGCTCCAACAATAGAGCCGAGAAGATGCCCCACCCTGCCCCATCACACGGTGCTCCGACCACACTTAACTTCTGCTTTCCGCAGGTTTGACCTGTCCCCGGGGAGAGACCTGCATGAAGCTGAATGGCAAGAGGGAGATGAGAGACGCACAATGGCTGGTGTTTGCCCCTGTGACACTGGGAAGGAGGGCTGAGGGCAGCTCCGTGCGAGGAAGGAGAGCCAGGGCATGAAGTTCAGGCAAGGCGTGGGATTACCTAGTGACACAGGGCAGTGAATAGGAACCGAGGGCGGGGGACTAGAGAGATGACCTAGCAGGGATGGTCAGGGACTGCCCCTGGGGAGAACCCAAGTTCAGTCCCCAGCACCCACATCAGGAGGCTCACAGCTGCCTGTAACTCCAGCTCCAGGGGACCTGGCACCTGTGGCCTCTGCTGGCACCCGCACTAATGTGTATATACCCACACAAGACACACAGAGAGCCCCGTAATTAATAATGACAACAATAAATATATACTTTTAGAGTTGTATGTATATAGATGTTTTGCCTGCATATGGGTCAGAAAAGGGTGTCAGATCCCCTGGAACTAGAGTTGTGAGTACACATATAGATGTAGACACATGTAAATGTGTGTGTATGTGTGTGTGTGTGTGTGTGTGTGTGTGTTAGATTCATGTAAACGTGCGTGTGTGTGTGTGTGTGTGTGTGTGTGTGTATTAGACTCATGTAAAACTGTGTGTGTGTGTTGCTTGGGATCAACGTTAGAACTTTACACATGTTAAGTAAGTGATCTACAACTGAATTACATTCCCAGCACAGGCCTCAAACTCATAATCTTCCAGCCTCAGCCTCCAAAGTAGCAGAGATTATAGGTCTGAACCAGCAAGTCCTCCTCTATGTTCCTTTTTCATTTTTTTCTTTTGGTATTAGATTTATTTTTACTACTCCCAGGGAGGTCTGCCCATTTAGAAAGGGCCTTCCACAGCCAGAAACTGCAGTGGCGGGAAGTGGGGTGGGGGGGAGTGGGGAGAGGGTGTGTGTGTGTGTGGGGGGGGCATCCGGAAAGCTGGCTCAACAGTTCAGAGCATTGTTGCAGAGGTTCACTTCCCAGCACCCACATCATGGCTCACAAACATCTGTAACTCCGGTTCCAAGGCTTCCAACACCCTCTTCTGATCTCTTTTCACACCATTATGCACACACAGACATGTGGAAACCACACTCATACACATAATTTTTTAAATAATTTTTTTAAAGAAATCAGATCCTCTAGAAGCAGAGAACAAAATCCCCTGGAATTGGAGTTACAGTTGATAGTGGCCGTGTGGCACTGGGAACCATGATCTTAACCATTGTGCATCTCTACAGCCCAATATCTGGTCAGTTTTAAATACTTTCTCCCAGTGGGCAGTAGTGATGCACGCCTTTAATCCCAGCAGAGGGAGAGGCAGGCAGATCTCTGAGTTTGAGGCCAGACTGGTCTACAGGGTTCTAGGATAGTCAGGGATACACAGAGAAACCCTGTCTCAAAAACCAAAACAAGGGGGTGGGGATTTAGCTCAGTGGTAGAGCGCTTGCCTAGCATGTGCAAGGCCCTGGGTTCGGTCCTCAGCTCTGGAAAAAAAAAAAGAAAAGAAAAAATATCAAAAAGCAAAACAAAAACAAACAAAAAATAAACAAAACAAAACAACCCACACTTCTTTCCATTGATTGTTCCAAAGCTGCCTCTTCAGTTCTTGGTACCCAGAGCAGATCTCAGGTCCCTACTGGGTAATAGGCGCCATTGATATGGCTTGATGGATCCTACCTAGCTGGGCAGGTCTCAGAGTGGAAAACCCTGAAGGGAGTGCCTGGAGACACACAATCCTGGCAGTTAAGCACACCTGAGATGTTCATCACCAGTCACCTCCACCACGAGGCTCCCTTCCAGGCCTGTACACGACTTCCCTTTACTCCTTACTGCCTTTTATTTTATTTTTGAGGCAGGGTCTCTTGTAGTCTATTCTGGCCTGAGGTTCACTGGGTAGCTGCAGTTGGCCTTGAATTCCTCTGCTTCTACTTCCCAAGAGCTGGGACTACTAGTATGCACCAGCAGGCCTTGTTCTCCTGGGGTTTAGACCTGTCTGCTGGGATCCAGGTCTCAGTTTCCAGCCAGGAAGAAAAGGCAGCACTCTGGATGGGTTTGCAGGGACAGCGGGGTCTGGACGGCACTTTGCCGCCCTCTGGAGGCAGTGTGTAGTAGTCTAGGTCCAAATCCTGTGAGGAGAACGCAGAGGTGAATAGGCGGACTCCACCAAGGATCAGAATCTCAGATCTGGCTTCAGCCTTGAGGAGACACCATGTAAACAGCCCGACCAGGATCTCATCCCATCCACCATGACTCCTGTCACGACTCAGGCCCTCAAAGATCAAGAGACAGACCACGGGATCTGTGTCTGTGTGACCCTGACCCAAGCAGCTTTCCCATGATCGTTAGTTCCTGCTCTGTTTAATCAGCGTGATAGAAGGAGAGGAGGAGGAAGAGGAGCTGGCTGTGGTGGCGCACGCCTTTAATCCCAGCACTCAGGAGGCAGAGGTAGGCAGATCTCTGTGAGTTCGAGGCCAGCCTGGGCTACAAATCAAGTTCCAGGACAGCCAGGACTGGTACACAGAGAAACTTTGTCTCAAAAAACCAAATTAATTAATTAATTAAGGAAGGAAGGAAGGAAGGAAGGAAGGAAGGAAGGAGGGAAATGAATGAATGAACGAATAAATGAATAATAAAAATAAAAGCTGCAAAGACCACCAAGTGCACACCCCACAGCCATGGTTGAGCATTGGGATTATGGCTGTTTTCAGGAAGAGGGCATCAGGAAGGATTGTTAAGGGGTTTAGGCTTCTGGGTAGTGATTTGGCGGAGGATTTAAGTAAGGGTGTAAGAGTGCTTTTCTTAGGACTAGATGTTACTAGGGAGTGGGGTCAGTTTGCTGATTATATTCTCCCCCCTCCCCCACGCACACAGCGTTTCTCTGTGTAGCCTTAGCTGTCCTGGAACTCACTCTGTAGACCAGGCTGGCCTCAAACTCACAGAGATTTTTCTGCCTCTGCCTCCCAAATGCTGGGATTAAAGGCGTGTGTGCCACCACCCGGTGGCTAATTACATTTTTAAAATAATAATATTTACAGTACAGAAATTAGACCCTGGCACTTGCACGTGCTAGGCAAGCATGCTCACTCTAAGTGACGCACCCAGGCCCCACTGATGGATTCTAGGCAAGTGCTCAGCCACTGAGCTGGATATGTAGAGATGGCTGGCCTTGAACATGGCTTGATATGGAACTTGATATGTAGCCCAGGCTGGCTACATATTGTATTATTTCTGTCTAATGCTCCCCCTCCCATCTCGAGGCCCAGTCAGCTCTGAGGCCGGTCTTGTTTCGGTCTCCTTAAGTATAAACTATTGTTGTTATCCTCTCATCTTTTATCATCTGGATCTATCACAGTGCCTCACATGAGGTCCTCCAAACACTCTGCCAGCCGGGCGGTGGTGATGCACGCCTTTGATCCCAGCACTCGGGAGGCAGAGGCAGGCGGATCTCTGTGAGTTCGAGGCCAGCCTGGGCTACCAAGTGAGTCCCAGGAAAGGCGCAAAGCTACACAGAGAAACCCTGTCTCGAAAAACCAAACCAAACAAACAAACAAACAAACAAACAAAAAAAACGAAAAAAATGACTCTGCCCATGGACAGCCCCAGTTCCGTCATTCTCCATTACCATAGACAGCATGTAAAATTAAATAGAGTCACCTTCAAGTGAAAGCCTCGAAGTGGATTCCCAGCCAGCCCCTAGACTGGAGTGGCAGCTTTCTTTATTCTCAGAAGGGCTCATATACTCAGCCTCAACTGATGGCGCTGTACTTTCAGAGTGGCCAAGGTGATTGGGGCTGTCCCAGAAGTTCAGTTATGTTGTTGTGTTGTGTATAGAAGATGATAAGGAATTTGGTGAGACCAGGTGCAGAGACTAGAGCTTCTAATCCCAGAACCTGGGCAAACGTGGCCCTGGCAGGCCTTGCCCTTCTCCCCCATTCCCTCTGCCTTGCTAAAAACTGTTAGATCATATTCCTAAAGCTGGCTGCCAAGGTCCATTCCCTTATTTGGCCTCTTCCTTCTCCTGAGGCTGACTACCAAGGTCCAGCTATCAAAGTATTTAAGTCCAGCAAAAGAAGCCCCCTTTGGCTTACCTAATTAACATGCCCAAACTTAAATACCTCGGGGTATTAAATACACGGGGTTCCCCCTTTTTCCTTTATAAACCACCATTTGCCTATGGGCCACATCTGTCTCCTGTCATTGTTGTTGTGGACCCCAAATTTCCCCCCTTCCCCTTCTCCCTCTCCTCTGTCTCCTGTCTTTGTCTCTTATTCCCTGCCCTCTGTCCCTCCGGGGCAAACACATCTCCTTTGTGCTGAGAACTTGGTCTTGGGGCGTCCTATACAGGTTTCCACAGAGGCAAGAGGATTGTCAGGAGTTCGAGGCCAACCTGAGCTACCTATAAACAAGAAGAAAGAAGGAAGGAGGGAGGGGGGAAGAGGAAGGAGAAAGAGAAAGAGGTGAGGAGCTAAATCAGATAGCTCTCCAAGACAAAGCCAAAACCCAGGGACAAGCAAAACGGGGAGGCAAGTGCTGAGCGCCACAAGCAAGCTGCGCAAAAGCAGCCTTGGGGACCTGAGAGGTGGCCTGGGGTCAGGCCACTCATCACGAAAGGCCGCCTCTTCCCCTGGGGACCTGAGAGCCAGGCAGCCCTGATTTGTTTTGAAACAGGATATGAAATTACGCTGCTACGGCCCAAACGAAGGCACACTAGCCCGGCGCTCACAAATCTTCAGCAAGCGGGGAAAGCTGGACGCCCCGCCTCGCCCCGCCCCGCCCCTTTTCCTTTCCTGTAAGGAGAGTGCGCACGCGCAGCCGGGGAGCGCCCCCCCCCCCAGTTCTGGGAGTGCGCGTGCGCAGCGGGCGCGCCCTTCTGTCGTCATTAAGACGGGCGGCCGGCGGCGGCGGCGCTTGCGAGGAAGTTAGGAAAAGCCGCTATGGCGAGCCCTGCCGCCGCCTCTGTGAGGCCGCCCAGGCCCAAGAAAGAGCCGCAGACTCTTGTCATCCCCAAGAATGCGGCCGAGGAGCAGAAGCTCAAGCTGGAGCGGCTCATGAAGAACCCGGTGAGTCGGAGAGGGCTCTGCGGCCCGGCCCGGCCCCGTCACCCCTCCGGACTCGGGGACGCTGCACTCCGTACCCCAGAGGAGGCCTGGGGCGGAGGAGCTGCGTGCCTGGCCGCCTCCTACAGCACAGCTGCAGGAAGGGCGCCCTTCAGCCCCCCCATGCCCTCCTTTCTCTTAGTTTTCTTTTTGCGGGCGGTGGTGTTGCGCATTCTATCCACGCTCCCACTGAGTCGGCTCTTAGTATAGGCAGCCCTCAAATTTGGGGTCCTCCCGTCGGATATCCCCAACTAGCCCTGCACTACTATCCCGGGTTGCTTCACAGCCCTTTCTGTTTTAACTGATCTAAGAATAAAAGCGATAGAAGCTGGGCCTGATGGTGTGCACCTGTATAATCCCAGCACTCTGGTGGCTGACACGAAAGATTGCTACAGAGTCCAGGCAAGCCTGGTCTGCAGCGTAAGTTTCAGGCCAGCTGCATAGTGAGACCTATCCCAAAAACCAAAGGAAAACAAAAAAAGAATCTGTGCCTTAGGAAAAGTGTTCAACTTCCCATTATTAAAGAGGCATTGGCCAACAGATTTGGAACACATCACTCTCTACCTCCCAACCAGACCTCATAAAGACAGCTAACTGAGAAGTCCTCATAGCTTTGTCAAGAAAAGGTTGGCTCTCCTTTCACAGTGACTTAGATTCCAGACTTCTGTGGCCCGGGAGAATTGTGGCCCATGTTAGACTCCATGGTTTCCAGGATGAAGTAAGCTCAGGGTTTGAGAAGCCCACTCATTGGCTTGTTAGGTCAGAAGAGATGTGACTTCCTCAGCAAGCGTCTACTTACAAATGTTTTTCTGTCGCAGGACAAAGCAGTTCCAATTCCAGAGAAGATGAATGAATGGGCTCCTCGGCCTCCTCCAGAATTTGTCCGAGATGTCATGGGTACTGTCTTTTGTTTCTCTGTGTATATGGGTGTGTGTGTGTGTGTGTGAGATCATTTTTAAGGGGAAATACGAAACACTATTGTTGGTACTTGTCAACTAGATCTTTGATAGGAAATTTTTTTGTCTTCACAGTGGAGGAGTTTTATGGTTTGGCACTAGATAATGGTTGCCCAGTTATTCTTAGGTAGTTTTGTTTCTTGTGGTTAAACTGCTTTATTTGGAGGACTTAAAAAGTTGGTACCAGCCAAAGAGGTCCACATAATCAGACAAACTAGTCAGGGTAGATCTTCCAGGCTTCCTTTATGGTAAAGGTGCTTGTTTATTTTTTGAGATAGGGTCTCACTATGTAGCCCAGGCTGTGCTTGAACTCAGAATCCTCATGCCTCTACCTCCTAAGTACTGACATCACAGGCTTTTACCATTGTCCTAGAGTTACTATTGCTGTGATGAAACACCATGACCAAAAGCATGTTGGGGAGGAAAGAGTTTATTTGAATTATACTTCCACAATGTAGTCTATCACTGGTGGAAGTCAGGGCAGGAACCTGGAGGCAGGAGCTGATGCAGAGGTCATGGAGGGGTGCTGCTTACTGGCTTTATGACTATGGCTTGCTCAGCCTGCTTTATTATAGAACCCAGGACCAGCCG